GAGGAGAAGAGCAGAGGCGAGAGAGAGTGAGACCATGAGAGAGGGTTGGATTCAGAGGACAGAGAAGAGAGAGGAGAGAGAGAGGAGGGAGGAGAGGAGACGAGAGAAGAGAGGGAGCAGATGAGAGAGAGAGAGAGAGAGAGAGAGAGAGACGCGCGCACGCATGCACACAATTTCAATGTTCTATATGTTCTATGTTCGATATATGACGCTATCGTACATCGTTTGCGACGTATATACGTGGCGACTTACTTGGACACAATAAATCGCGATAGCTTCTAGTATAATCAGGATTATCAAGTACTTATTGCGCAGCGCGGCAGATCCACGCTGCTGCGTGGTCTGTGTTTGCATACCGATGTCACGTGACCGTCTGGTATTTACATCGACAGCGAGGGCGATAGTTAGCGCTGGCGTGTGGAATCGTAGCAACTTATCTCATTTTCCGAGGCATCGTAAGAATAGAGCTAATTAAATTTATTCATGAAAATTACTCGTAAAATGTACGCTACCAGCTGCCACGTGAGATTAAGCCCCGCAGGCCCACGGCTCTAGAAACGCCTGCGAAAAATCGATAGTTGTAGGGAGTGCGTGCCAGTGGCGGGAACAGCCGCGGAAGTATGCGATTCGGCTAGCCGGTAGGCGAGACGTGCGCGTCTGCGCGATCACAAATCGCATGGCGTACTAGCAGAGCGGACGCGACGTAACAGCGTGGAAGGAAACGCGAAAATCGTAGTGACTCGTCACGTTTTTGCTTCGATGATGGAGCATATACAACACCAGCAGGGCTTTAACTCGCATCTGAAGAAGGTCTTAAAAAGTTACCAAGTGGCATCGATGAATAGTTTGAGTGGACCGGCCAGCTACACGTCCTACTGGAACGATCTGAAGCTGAGCCCACCCATCACGGCCGCCGCATTCGACGGATGTGTCAGTGCGGCTCGCAACGCCGAGAAAACGATGAAAGGAAGTGGACCGATGGTAATCAAGTCGGAAAATGGCAAGTACTTAGAGTACGATCCGTTATTCTCGCCGCCGCCGTTCCCGGTGCAGCAACTGCCCGTCTTCTCGCCGGCGGACCAGTCGCGCGAACGCAGCGAGACGGTCCTCGAGAACGAGTGCATCACGTGCTTCATGGTCGGCGGCGAGAAGCGACTCTGTCTGCCGCAGATTCTCAACACCGTACTGCGGGACTTCTCGCTGCAGCAGATCAACGCCGTCTGCGACGAGCTGCAGATCTTTTGCTCACGCTGCAACCCAGAACAGCTCGAGATCCTCAAGGTGTGCGGCATCCTGCCGTTCAGCGCCCCGTCGTGCGGCCTCATCACGAAGACGGACGCCGAGCGGCTGTGCAACGCGCTGCTGCACGCGCGGACGCCCGCGTCGGCGTCGTCGGACGCGCCGCCGCCGACGACCAAGCACAGCTTCCGCGTCTACCACGAGTGCTTCGGCAAGTGCAAGGGCACGTTCATCCCCGAACTGTACACGGAGCCGCACGCGGCGTGCATAGCCTGCTGCGAGTGTCATGGCCTCGTGTCGCCACAGCGCTTCGTCGTGCACTCGCACCGGCCGCGCGAGAACCGCACGTGCCACTGGGGCTTCGACTCAAACAGCTGGCGCAGCTACGTGCTCGTCGCGAAGAACCAGGAGAACGAGGCCCAGCTACGAGAGAAGCTCGACGACATCAAGAAGTGGTACGCGCGAGGAGGAGGAGGAGGAGGAGGCGGCGGCGGCGGCGGCGGCGGCTCACACAAGAGAAAGCAGGTGCGTAGCGGCGACGTCATCGCATCGGCTTCTCGGCGCGTTTCTCTTCTTCTTCTCGTTTCAGGAGGATGGTGTGCTGCTGGCCGACGCCACCTGGTGGCACGATGCAAAACCGCGCAGCTCTCCGTCGGTTTGCCGTGGATTTTGGTCGGAAAGCGATCGATGTAAATCCCCTAAGGTCCAAGGTTTCCATATCAGTGAATTAAAAAAGCCGATGGGGCACCGTGGGGGTTTGATGCGCGGTGGCTGATATGAAGCCGTATTGATCGCTTTGGATGATATCAGGCCATCGCTCTTATAACTTTAAATTTAGGTATTCTGTTTATCAAGGAATATGGATGTGCACAATTAGTATTGTAAATTGCGGTAAGTTTACCATATCCGGCTAGCTGTCCTGAAGTCAATTTAAAAGAATTTTGTAGTTATTTGACGCTTCGTTTCAAATTTCCATCGGCTTAGCTTTGGAAATCAATTTGGACATCTCATCATATTAGTAAAAGGTTCCTGGTATTACCAGTGGCTTGGTTAATCTCACAAATCATTCTAAGCGTTTACAAGCGTTTACTCCTTATTTCTATTCGTTTTTATGTAATAGCAGTTTTTTCCAATAAATCCCCTTGTCCACAAAAGCGAGGGTGCATGAATAAAAACGTGTTCCCATTCTAACTCAGCAAAATAGAATTCGGGACAAGAACACGAACACAAAGCAAAAGCAAGCAGAGGTGTAGCGCACACACTTTTATCCAATAATGAAGTTAATTTTAAATGCAATACCCATCAGCGCAAACATCCACATGTTTCATTACACAGTATATAGGAATATCAGTGTTGGCGAATCAAACTATGACTGTTGCAATGACAGCACGTTTACACCCCCACCGTCTACTAGAAGGTTTCTGGCTAAACCATTTGGTGGGTCACTGTTTCGTTTTCATGTTCGCTCAAGTCATTAGTGTGTACCCATATATAACACTGCTGCAGCCTGGTGGTTCTACATGTACGGCTGTACGTGCATGAACAGATTGTCCTTACATTGGCACATGTCTTAGCGAAACGCCTCGAAAGAAAGTGATTTCATACGAGTTAACGATGTTCTATCGTGGTATCGATTATTTGTCAGGTAATTCTGTATCAACAGAATGTTATATGTCATTGCCACAACCCACAGCACCCGGATGCATTGCGACTGTGTTGTTTTGATATTGGGGAGGTGCCACAGGGATATGGGAATCTGTAGTGAAACAGTGGCAGGCAGCGTGGTCTTTGTGCCTTTATTGAAACTAGTGATATCTCGGACAAAAATTCACTAGTTTACACTAGTTACGAAGCCTTGTAATAAAGAAAACAATAATATCCATAACAATGATGTTACGACAATTACAACAATGGCAGCGACAAACAACAACAACAACAACAACAACAACAACAACAACAACAACAACAACAACAACAACAACAACAACAACAACAACAACAACAACAACAACAACAA